ATGATTTGGACGTAAAGCATGTAAGATTAAATCAACAATGGCCTCGGTCCGAGGTGAACCGAGGTGAAGAGCCGTGATGGGCTTTTACGTGTTGCTTAGTAAAGTTTTTTCCGTTCGGAGAGAGATCCCCCGTACAAATGTCATGGGTCCGCTATTTATAGTATTTTCGGGTTGATACATTGGGATCTGTGCATTACTTTTTCGAATAAAGTGACTTTTTGTGGGCGGTTTGAAGCAAGGGGTCCCACATAAATGATGACGGATCTTGTGGAGCAGGAGGGTTGTTCGTAGGCACCTTGTCACCTGCTTAAGGAGGTGACGATCTCGGTTCATGTTGACCTCGGTAGATGTTGACCTCGGTAGATGTTGATCGCTTCGGTCTTCGGTAGTTCGGTCCGGTTTGTCGCCTGAACCGGGGTGGTGTTTGAAATTACATCGGTTCAATGATCATCTTCCTTTTAATGTGTCGTTTGGAATCTCTTAATGCAGGTTTACCGATCCGGATGATAACAAAAATGCTGAAAAATTGTTAAGAAAATCTTTTGATAGTTTGCTTTTAATTTATGTTGAAAACCAAAAATGTATTTTTTAACTAGTCTAGGAGTCTCATACATTATCATTGTTATTATCATAATGGTTAGTATTATTTATTGTTAGAGTTTGATAGTTTTGTCATGGCTCGAGAAAGTGGCAAAAGTTGGTAGGGGCTACTAAAGGCTATGGGTGACTGCGTGTTTGGACTTTGGATACAGATAAATTAGATTTTTATCTATTTTAGTTAATTATGGTTAATTTTAAAAATTTAGTTAATTAATTTTTAGTGTATATTAAAATAATATTTAAAATAAAATAATTAAAATTGATTTAATGTAAAAGTAGAAGAGAGATGATGTAAAGTGATAGTTAGTTAAAATTGTGTGAGTGGATGAAGAGGAATTAAGAACACTATTGATCATTCTTTATCAAAAGAGAAAAAAAAAATTATGTCGGTGAATAAATATTTAATTAAAGTTAATTTAATATTTAAGAATGATTGATTGATATTAATTAACTATTGATCAGGTTGAGATAGTGAGGTTGAAATAAATTGAGTTAAATTTAAATTTAAATTGAGTATGAGTTATGATCTTTTTAATAAACAAACACCTTCTCAAATTGTTTGGTTGGTGTTTAGTAAATAAATAAAATTAAGATCTAACACTATATTACATTCTATACTCTAATAATCGATTAATTCATATCTATACTTATATTAAAGGGGATCTAATTTACTAAATATAGAAGTTAGAAAAGTCAAACTTAATTAATGAATTTCTAATTTTATCAAGTATTTAATTAATGCATCTAATATTTTGGGTATGCAAATCAAATTAACATTTAATTAGTTCCTAAAATATTGGGTACGCAATATTAATTTAGAAATATCCATGTAGTTTCTAAAATGTTGGTATGCAACACGTAAAAGAAGATTTTTTAATTTTTTTAAATATAAAATATTGTAACACGTAAAACTATTTCAGTTATTTTTTTTATTTTATTTTACATATAAAATCTAATCAATATTTAATACTTCCTACAAAATTGGATTTAGTTTAATTCTCCATACAATTGGTTGTAACTTTTTCAGTACTTTATTTATTTATTTATTTTACACTATTAAATTAATGAAGCTCTCCGAAAATACCAAATCAAATGATTTATGATTTTTTTTTTTTTTACAATTATAAATCTATATACCCAACTCAAAAAACTCATTGCATAAATATGGACGAGTTTAAGAAAATTTCATAACCCAGCTTACAAAATTCCATCTCCACGAGTCAAAAAAATCACAACTCTCATCTATCGTAACAACTTTAAAGATAAATAAATAAAAGTCTAATTACTACTATAAATCCATTATCTATTTATATTTTTGTAAAAATATAAATTTCACATGTCTAGTTACTAATATTTTAGATACTTTTAAATATTATTTGTATAATTTTTTTTACACATTTGTTTTTTTTTCTCTCTCTCTCTCTCTCTCTCTCTATATATATATATATATATATATGGAGGTTAAATGAAGAATTTTTAGACATGTTTTTCTTACGGGTAGTTTAGAAAAATTTAGGTAGCTTCAAACATTATTTGTGAATAATATAGAATATTTTAGATGCTTTTATAGATGTTATAAAATACTTGTACAATACCCGTGTATTACACGGGTGTTAAAAATTTATTCTTAAATTTAAAAATTAATGAAAAAATTATATTAAATTTAGTTTACTTTTTTACAAAAAAAAAAAATATATTACTATACATTTTAGAATGATACGTGTTACTTATGACTTACATGTGTTATATTATATTAGTTTTTATAACTTATATCATATAACTATTTGATAATAAATAATTTTATTTTTCTAATTAATATTAAAAATAATTTTATTATTGTTATAAAGATGAATATAAATTATTTTTTTTATACATACAATATGGATGTTAAATCGAAGCTTATCAAAAGAAGATTAATTTGATATATTACATATGTAAAATTGATAAAAAATACAAAAGTTATTAACTTTTAAAATATATATACAATTCAATAGTTATAATAAGGAATGATATTAAAATACAATTAATACATGTAACATGACCATAAATAATCAACATATTTATGGTAATCTGAACCTAATTATTTTTGGTTTGGAATTAAATTAAAATTTACCCAAGCCCAATAACGAAGCATTTAATTTTGCCACATAGGATTCCGAAGCACCAGAAGCAGCCACGTAGGCTCAGTGCATTCTGTATAAATATATAGGGGGATTTTAAGTATTTTTAATATTTATATATCACACTTAGAAAGAATATTTTGTCAAAAAAAAAAACATTAAATACACATTGTAAATGTTAATAGAAACAGTCTTCAGTGTTCGTCTTTGATCTCAATTACATATAAAATTTATTTTTATTTGTCACATAATTTTTGGTGTGCATTAATCTCGATTTGTATTTGTAAAATTGATAGCTTTTGTATTAATTTTAATTTGTATTTGTAAAATTGATAAATTGTTAAGCGTACAAATTCATTTTTATGGTAGCAACTTAAAAAAAATGATAGTAATTTTTGAAATATTGTGTAGTCAAATCTTCGTATAGAAGTAACATCATAATTATGGTATCTTATAAATCTTCTCTAAGATAACTTTAGCGTGAGATAATGTCTTTATTTAGGCTTATAGTATTTTAGATACTTAAACAAAATATTCAGACATATTTTTTTTTACATATTCTATCTATATATACATATATATACTCACATATACGTAACACATGTTAAGTTTAATTTTTTTTAGACATGTTTTCTTTACAAAATAGTTTAAAAAATCTTACATGCACATCTATACTTATATAAAAAGACATTCTATTTACTAGAATTGGTAGTAAGAAAAGTCAAAGGTAATTAATGCATTCTATTTCCATCAAGTATTTTATTTAATTATTTTAGTTAATTATTTTATCTCATAACACCTTTTCAATACAACTTACTATGATTTTTCCATTGTGATTAAAAACCAAATTTTACGTTTAAAATCTTGTGAAATTATTTATTATTATTTTCATAAAGTACATATTATTTGTTAAAAAATTGTATATATATAATACATATCACAGTACCATGGTAGATGATTTAAATTTCAACCGACCAAAATGCCAATGATTTAAATTTGAACACAACTATGCGTTTGACCAAATGTCTAGATGATTTAAAATTGAGCCCATAAAAAATTATTTAAATTTGAACACACCAGAATTTTATGTACTTTTTATGTATAAATATATTGAAAGTGATATTTAATGGTTGTTATATAAACTATTTTAATATATTTGCAATAAATAAAAGTTTGAATGAATAATATGTAATGTTATTCATAATGTTTGTGACTTATGAGACACGAACACATAACTCCATTCATATTTGCCAGAGGGTAGCTTAATAATTTTTTAGACTTAACGTTGATTAAAAG